ATGAAAATTACATATATTTTAAGTATTTATCATGTACTTATAAGGGTGAGTAATCTAGATGTCTAGAAAATACCATAATCTACCTAGTTTAACTTTACTGGAGTCAGGTATAACAGGTTTCAAGAGTGTTTGAAAGCACCACATCTAACATAAAAGTTTCAGCTCAAGATCTATTTGTTAACAATATTTTAATTAACATGTTTTGCAGCTTAATTTTAAAAGTTGCAGTTAAGCAATACAGTAGTGCTTATTAAAAAAATGTTTCTAGTAATGTTGGCCTGGAACCTACATTGCCTCACTTAATGGCAGCAAAGCAAAATATCTAACTTAGATGAGGTAAATGCTTTATTATCTACTATCAGGACTTGGCTCTGTTCTCCATCACTTCCATATAAACTGGATAATTTTCCACACTTTTTTAGAGGAGCATTTACTTATTTTGCACTTACGTTAGCAAATGAAAACTATTATCATTAATAAAGCATCAGGCTGTTGCTTGATTTCATATTGCACTAATATGTATTGGAGTTCCATGAAATTCCAAGCAATTAACAAAATATTTGACATAGTACTTTGATTCCAGCATAAAAAAGAATAACTCACAGATTGCAACACGCAATTATATTCCTTTAAAAAAAAATCCAATTACCAAGAAAACTAAGTTTTTGAACAAATACCCTTACCAGATATGGCTGGGGGCATTTCTAGGATGCTAGAGGCTTTGGACCTCAGAGAAACAGGCTGTGTTTTTTCATTTTAGTATTTTGAGATATCTCACAGGGACCATGCACACAGAATATAAAGGAACTTCAAGCACAACGTTACATTCAACTCACGGCATCTTTGTTCACCAAGAACAGAAGAAGACAAAGGCAACATGTGGCTTGAAAATCAACAGTGAGATGCCTGAAATAAGCTATGAGTCTACTATACCGAACAACAACTTAAACGCTCCATATTGACACAATTCTCATCAGTTTATGCTGGTAATGTAATTTTTTGCAAGGGGGAGAATTGCAACTACATAAAACTGCCTATAGGAAAGCCTTAGAGTAAATATTGATGATGATAAAAGACTCAAAAACATTTTTTTTTTGAGATCTTGAGTATACAGAAATATTGAACCAACAACAAATTACACTAATCCTTTCTGATAAAATAAACTTTCAGCAAGGGAAACCTGTTGACCTCAACCTCAGTAGTAAAACGCAGCCTAGAAAAGGGATGCCTAAAAAGAAGAACATTTAGTGCAGCAGGGAACTCACACACATCCTACTTTACTGCAGGCATGAGGTTTAAGAAAATCTCCAATCTGTATAAGGATGAAATTCAAGGCCTTGTAATAATGTGTAATTAATAAAATATATAATAAAAAAAAATCAAAAATGTAGCCTAACCAAACTAATTCAGTTATCTCCTGACTTTCCTGTATGATTAGTACCACAACTATAGGTAATTTAGCAATGCCCATCAAGTTTCCTGGAATAACCTTATGCAGGTCTGAACTCAAAAAATATCAAATTAGTTTGGTGGATTAGAGGAAGTAACATGTCATAAAAAAAGTCAATGTAGCACTAAGAGACATGTGGAAACCATCAACATGGAAGTTAGGATAACTCTTGTAATAGAGAAAACAATAATTTTAAATGGTCTGAATATAATTAGTATGATTATAATTTATAGTATAATTATAATAGTATGTTTATAATGTATCAGCTTTTATTGCTGGTATTTCTGGAGGCAGAGCTGGTTGAGGAATTGAAGTAACATGATGAAAACCATACAAAGCTGAAAAAGGAACAAAGAAAAACTCTCAATCTTTATTATTTGTAAACTCTGGAAAAACAAACATTATAGAGCAGAAATATCATCATTCACTGGACAGAGTTTACATCTTATATTAAATCCCATGGCTCTTAATTCAGAAGGAATCTTCAGCTTAAATTTCTAGATATATGTAATCTAAAAGAGATGTATGTATTGTGTAGGATACGCAGGAATACACATATACTTAGTAACAGCAAATACTAAAAAATCCTGCAAAGTATCTAAAATATGGCTAAAAAAGGCTAGGGAGGTAAGAAGTGAAGAGTGAGTGAAAGACCTAGATATAAACTTTAAAACCAGACAGCCAAAGAAAAAGCTGATTACTAATACTGCAGTAACATAATCTAACATTTTCAACTACTGTCTTTGGAAGACCTCCCTGAGAATAAGTATTTTATGAGGAGCAGAACTAATTCAGACCAGTTTCCTTTGCATGCTGGCTTGCTGACTAGTTACTTTCCAAGAAAAGCACAGAATTACTAAGTTCCTTCTCTCTCTTTTTTTTTTTTTGTTTTTCCTTAAGGCTTCAAAACTGAAATGCCTATAAAATTCTCAGGTGAAAAGAAACTATCTTTAAATTGTCTTAAATCTTTAAATTGTCTTAGCGAATTCCTTCGCAATTGACAGACACTGTCAAAGTTAACAGGGGAAGGACTAGACACGAATAGGTACCCAGAGCAACTGCATAGTCACCATTTCCCTCGGAAATCAAGGTAAGGGAGGACCAGGAACTATTTTATTCAGGCAAAGTACAGGGGCACACATCAGCAGATGGAAGAACCACCATAGAAAAAGCTGGCCTTTCTAATACATTATTGCCTCTCTAAAGTCCGTCAGCACTTACAGGTAATTTCGTGCTATGCTTACTATTTTTTTTTCCATGAAAAGAGAAACACTACTATAATATCTTATAAGGCAGGCTAAAGTCTATTACGATCAAGCACAACTACACAAACTTGTAAATATAGTAGGAATGTAGATCAAAATTGAAAATATATTATTTTGGAATATCATATAAAATTTCCTAAATTAGTCTGGTATTTAATAGAACAAATACATTACTATAGTTCTGTAGCTAGTCTGATTAATGTTAAATACCAAAGGCATATTGAAATATCTGTGAGAATTCCTAATTAAAATTCTAATCACATCTGCAAGTATTACCAGGTATAGCTGATGGCATTTCTTGGATGCCAGATGTTTCAGATCTTGAAGAAACAGGCTGTTTTTCATCAAAAGCTGAAAAAAAATCTGGAGTTAAAGTGAACAGGGACTTTAGAGCCACCAAGTCAGCACAATATTTGGATAGCAGCAGTGGGCAGTTCAAGGCAACACCAATATGAGATCAAGCAAGATGTCAGCAGCCTTGAAGATCAGCTGTGAAATGAGGTGTTACATAAACACTGAAGCTGATGTGAGGTGAAGCAAGGTGATAGCAAAAGTCTGTTTTCTAATGTGAGGCAGATTTCTTCTCACTGGACTATTTTTTTTTTTTTTTTAAAAACTTGAAGAAAGGAAAGAAGCCAGACTTGAATTTTATGTTGTTTTATATGTTTGAATGAGTCTTTGCGCTATCCACAGCAAACAGAAGTGATGGAAAAGCATGGAAAAGCTAATGGAATTACATGCTATTTACCCATCACTGTCCCTCTGGTTTTCATGGAGGGAAGAGAGGTGGATTTCAAGACGGGTTCCTGCGTAGCTAAAAGTGAAATATGAAAACAATCTTGAAACAGAAAGCGAGGTCAGCCTTTGTACAAAGTGATCTTTGTTGGCAAACTGGAACATCTATATTTATTTTATACTTATTGTATAATCATTTTTAAGTGATATTTGTGATACCATAGTCTGTTCACTGTGCCTTCTTTTGGAAGGTGGAACATATGTAGCACCTAAAATTGAAGCATTAATTACAAGGCTAGCTATCTACAACTTATATCTAAATTCTATTCAAGAGCAACAAGGGATACAAGGATCTTCTCCCATACACTTTGGTTTGGAAGTTCCAGATAAGTCTTTTAAACAAGAGGTTGCAAATGTTTGACTTCATTTTCATACTGCATACCTTCATATTCAAAATTAAGCATAAACTGAAGAATCAGTCCATAAATGCCTTCCTTATGCAAGTAACCTAAAGCAGTATCACAGAATCAAAGAATTAGAGCATAATTTGGGTTGGAAGGGAAATCCAATACAAAATGTTGGAGAAAATCCTAACAAATGAAGGTTCACAGAGCAGTTTAAAAAGATGAATTTGAAATAGGATGAAATCACTCATTTTCAGCTTTAGAAAGAAAAAAAAGAAACATAAAATTCACACAAAGATCATTAGCATTAACCCAGTAACACTATATATGTGCTTAATATGAGTTCTGAAAAAGATGAAATGTTGAGAAATGTCCAAATGTAGAAGATGAAGATCTATGTCAGGATCAGGTAAAAAATAAATTTTAAAAAGCATATGGTCCTTAAAATTGTATTGAGGAAACACCAGTATCGTTTATCCAGTTGCACTTTACCTGAAACAAATGTAAGAGGTTGCAAAGGTGTTTGAACATTTACGGTAAGAAAAAAAAAATGCACCTTAAATCGGTCAAATCACAATTATAGCTTCGAGGCAAAGCTTAGTGAAATCATGTTCCAGAAAGACAGTAATAGATGTGGCAGAAGTACTGTTCTATACTTTATTTAGAATAACTGTTCCCTACTAATTGTTGGTAGTTGCACTAATTTCAGGGGATTACTGATAGAGCCCTTATGCATTTTGCCAAATACAGTTGGTGCAGGGGTAGTTATGGATATAAATCAGTAAGTATAGAACAAGAAACTTCATGTTCAGTCAAAAGTACAAATATTCAGAAACAGTTTAGACCATCTCTGCCCTTCATTTTTTTTCCAGATAATTTTATATGTAATTTGAAATTACCAAAAATGTAAGAAAATATAATGCTAATATTCCGTTATACTCAGTGTGCCATAATTTTAGAAGTCTACCATTTTGCACATTATCCCAGGTGCAACAGTGAATACACCACTTCTTCCTTTAATTATGTTGACTCCATGATATAAATAAATAAATAAATAGCAACTAACAATACAACCAAATTCATACTGACATTTCTTGTTAGAATTCCTAGTAGTAATAAAATGACTTTTCCAAGAAATGTCATTACCAGATTTTGTTGTTGCCATTTCTGGAATACCAGGTATTGTGGATCTCGAAGAAACTGGCTGTGTTTCATCAGCAGCTGAAAAGCAAATCTGAGTTTGAGAATTTGCAGCAACACCAGAAGCACTGAAAAAACATACTACTCAGCTGACAGAAGCAGTGCTGCAAAAGGAAACATTGGTGCAAATAGAATCAAAATAATAAATTGCCTGAAATTCAAGTAGAGGTTAACGGACATAAGGACAACCCAACTGCTGAATCCTAGAGAATGGATACAGCACAAATTAAATTAGATCTGGCATTTTTGTGTCTCCTAAATACCCAGGTCGCAGAACTCTCCTCCTCCTGGTAATTTATGGATAGAAAATTCTTGAGTAAGAACTAAACCTACACAAAACCGCTAGCGATAATACATAACAGTATGTTACTCAGTCATTCACTCTGGACAGAGTGTTTTCTAGTTGTAAAAGGAATGATTGATATGAAAGTATCACACAGAAAACCTTTTCTTTTCTTTCCTTTTTTTTTTTTTTTTGGAGATACTGATTTCTAATCCTATTACCTATGACTGTCCAGTGCAGACAGTGATGAGAAGCCAATGGAAACTATAATGTAAATATATGCTATTTACCCTATTACTACATCTCTGGTTTCCAAGTGGTAAAGAGATTTCACAGTCTCTGGAAAGCTAACAGCTATGACACAGCTAACAAAATACAGTCCTGAAATACTAAGGCAGACAATCTTAACACATGTGGTATCAAAATGCTAGCTTGAGCACAGTCAGAAAATCCATATTTAGGCATATACATATGGACACATTTATGTGTATCTACACATGCAAATGACCTGAACAACATTCGTCTTTCAGTATTTACACCCATTTTACATTCCTCTGGCTTCACAAGAGAATGTGTGAAGAATAACAAGAGGAGGAGCGAGATACATCGCATGAAAAAGCTCAGAAAAGGTTTGAGAAACTTAAAAATTAGATATTTGCTAGTAAAAAATTGTAAGAAATTGCTCAGTTTAGAGACAGTTTTCTAGCCACCATCTTTATGCTATATGGAATGGTCAGAGTTTCAGTTACATGTTTCTACCGTGAAAGAAAAAGCAATTAGGGAAGTGTTTTATGAAACACTTCTTAAGTGTTAGTATGGCAGCTTTTTGAAGCTGTCAAAACAACATTCCCATAGATAACATCCTTTAACTACAAAATAGAGAGTGGATGTTGGCTCCTAAAACAAGTAGTTAGTGTAACTGTATTTGATGGTAACAAACTTCATTAATTACAGAGATAGCATAAGAATGAAATAAGGAACAGGTCCAAAACTTATCTTTAAAGGAAGAAAAATAATCAAAGAGTATAATGAAAGAAAAAAGTGAATATGTCATGATTAGCTATGCACTGTTTTTTTGTAACAATTATGGTATGCTGAACCTTGCAGGAGCAAATAGTTCTAGCTCAGCACTATTAACAGCTGTAGAAAAACTGTAAATAAATCTTTGTTTTACGCAGACTGAGGAACACAGTTCATTCGATCTTCCCATAAGCTGCACTTTCTAGACTTCTAATCACTTTTGCTGGTATCTTCTGAACCTCTCTGAGTTTGGTGTTTTTCTGGAGCACGGTAATCTGAAGCTTTCTAAAAGTTCAGTAGAGCTGAAGGATTTCTTCATGTACCTGGCAGACTGTTCTACTGTTACATTTTGGTATGGCACTTGCCTTGCTGGCAACAGCACAACGATACTGACTCATAGTCAAGCTTTTGATTCACTATAACAAAAAGTTCCTTTCCTGGAAGTTAATGCTTCTCCATCATGCACTCATACAATTGATTACTCCTGCATAAGCAAAATCATTGCTCTTGAGAAAGAGCATCCTATCCTCTGCATAGTAGCACATCTTCCAGCTTGGAGTCATTTATCAATTTAACAAACATCAATTTCATTCTATTGTCTAGGTAGTTAATAAAACTATTGCCTAATACTGGCCCTATGATTATTCCCTTTTAAAAAAATCCAGTTTAATGTATCTTTCCATCTTGACATTCAACTGTTTACAACTACTATCATATCACATTCATCTTTCAGTACTTTCATGCTCCCTGGTTTATGAAAATCCTCTGTGAAACATAAAAATAGACCTAGTAGTGTCATTTAAAGTTAACTTCTATGGTTTCTCCTCTATCCCACAAGTCCTGCTATAGCCTCCCCTAGCCCAAACTCTATTGGCATGATTTTCTTCATGAATTCTTTCTAAAGTAATAATGTGATAACAATTCATAGAAAGAATACAAGAGATATCCCAAAGATTGGTGTATTTCACAACATAGTTCTTACAGGACTTAGAAATCTCATTCTACCTTTTTTACCCTTAAAAAAAATCTTTATCTAAAATCTTTGGAATCAGAATTGTAACTTAACAAAACTAAACAAGTTACTGGCAATATATGCCTGTACATCCTTATAGGAACTGTGTGACAAGTTATTCAGAAGTGGCTAACATAAGAGATTTAATAAAAAGCCTGCTGCATGCATTTGGCAACCAACATAATTAAGTCAGTCTCTTCCAGATGAAAAGCAATGCAAAAATGGTGGAAATATTTATGGAATCTATTCTGCTTTTCCAGCACTGTGCTTGCTATTACCATAAAGGGCAAAGGCATGGATTTTGGAGTTGGTTTCTGGATAGCAAATACAGAACAAGAAAAGTTTAAGACATTAAGGAAGGCTAATTCCAGAAGATGAGGTTTCAAAAACACAGGGTCATCTTTCCTGATGATACTTAATAAATTCATGTCATACCTGGAGATCTTATTTTCCCTCAACTGTCACAAAATCAATTTGATATAAGTAATATTATTATGAAAGGCCATACTTTTGGGAGGAAAATGATTTTAAAAACCCATTAAGCTTTTGTAATAGTATTTTAATGAACACACAAATGCCAAAAGATCAGATTAAATCAGATCACTAAAACTGTTACTTCCTTTAGAAAACAAAGGAGACAATGCAGGCAGTATAGGAGAAGCACAACTTCTATGGATGGTGGCATACAGACCATTAAAGAACAGGAATTTGCAATATGGTTTTTCTTGATGGTAGGAACATTCATGACCAAGTAAAGGCAAAGGACAAGTAAAAAGAAATCTAGATAGCCTGACTCTACCAAAAGAGGAACGATGAGCTAGTTCTGAGAGAACATGCCACAGACAGAGGCAAGGCCATGCAAGACTCATTGCTAAAAGTTTTCTATCAAATGAACTGTCAAACCATTCCAGGTCTAGCCAGTTACTTATTTTGATTTTCTTGACATGACTTCAAGTCAAATAGAATTCTCCATTTTAAAAGGAAAGAGAAATGCTGTATTCATGCAGGAGCAGAACAAACATCAGTATCATCCATGAGTACTAACACAGCTGCATCATGTGTTCACTGTGAATTTTGTAATAAACAAAATGTAAGACTTTTGCAAATGTAATGAAAAACTAAAAGAACACTGAATAAAGTTTAACAAATAGGAATAGGGAAAAATATATATGCTGTGATAAGCTAACCTCCAGCTACCAAAAGTTCCTATGTCTAATAACTAATAAATTTCAATTTGCCCAATTTAACTTTATTGCAGTGACACTTAAAAACTTGCAAGGGCTTCTGAATAGTTACTGTAAGATAGAAATACATCATTTTCTTTTGTTAGGATTTTAGTTCACAATGCCCCTCAAATATATTACTAATTAATTCACATTTTCTGTGGCTACATTTACAAAATTGCTTTTAAGGAATACAACAAAAACAAATGCAAGCATCTCTCTATTTAATATGTTTTAAAATTATTAAAAATCAAAATTAGCAGCACTGAACTTCACCATATATTTTGACAGGACCAAAGAGTGTACAGTTGTTTTGAAAGAGAAAGACTTCAAGGTCTGATAATGCTATTGCTTTGTATCATAAGTAGCTACTCATCCCTTCATGCAGTGGAATACCACACATTTCAAAGCAGTTCAAGTACCTCTTCTACTAATTCTGCACAAAGAAAATGAGAGTACAAAAGTGTAAAGAAGTGCAAACAAGGGACTAAACCAGGCCTGAGTTCATATTACATTATTTGATATACATATTCCACTTTAAACACCTAGATCGGAGAAATACATGTTGTTTTCAAAGTATTTAACAGCTTGTACTGCCTATCATTTTGAACCTAGGCACCTAAAGACCAAATCCTTCCCAACACCATAAATATTATGCCCGTAATAAACAAGTGCAGTCCTCTGTTTTCCTTGTAATTTGTGGATGCTCAACTATTCTATAAATAATGATATTTGAGCCAGGTCTTAAGAAAAGTCTCTGGCATGCAAGAGTTATATCAGATTTTTTTTTTCAAGTAAGTTAATGGTCATTGTCTTTGAAATATGGAAAAACGATCTTGTAAATATCCTAAAAGATGAAAAACTAGCCATAATACAGTAATTATAATACAGTACTGTAAATGTACTGTAAATGCAGTACTGAAAACTTCATGAATGATGTGCTTATTTTGTTAAATTTTTGTTTTCTTCAGCTCAGTTATTCCAGAATGAGTCCCTGTAAGCTAGCTGAACAATCAAAATAGGTACAGTAACTCTCAAAATAGACGATGACTAGGTCTGCTTTGTGTCATTTATGGAATGGTAGACGTTTTATGCATTGTGAAATCTTGTAGAAGCAGGCCATGTTTCACCAAAAGCTGAAAGGAATATCTGGGTTAAAAATGCTGTAGCAATTCCAAAGTCAGCTGTGAAATGAGTGTTTCATGACTGCAGTGATGTTTGTTTAATTATTCTTTACTAGACAGAATTCTTATCATCCAAGAATTTTACATTATTTCTCCATTTTGGAATAGGAATAAGAGCTCCAGGAAAGCAAGCAAACAAACAAACAAAACTGAGCAACAAGAGATAAGCATATGTTCTTCTAGCCATCAGTCAATAAGCCAGTACCAGAAAGAGACTTTCCATGATGGACAGAAAGAAAGTGTTCTGGTGGCACTAAGAAACAAAACACAACAAAGAAAAGTAAAGCTCAAAACACAGATAAAATGGAATATCAATATGGGATAACTGCAGTGATTAAAAAAAAAACAAAACTACACGTTGTATTCTGCAAAAGAAAGTATAGATGTGATAAAAAAGGATGACGAAAAACAGCATGAAACGCTGTTTTAATGGAACAAAAGCTAAGGCAAGCTTCCCAGAGACTGCAGTGGTCACTGATGAAAAGAAACTCAGATTCTCCATTACTCTATTTCTTCCAAAATGCAGCAATACTAAGACCATAGTTTAAAATAATAACGAATATGAACTACTGATTGCTACTCATACTAGTTACTGGTAACTTAAGTTTTTTAGAAACCAGAAATAAATATGGTTTCCACTCTATGGTATTTGCAGCTGAGGGAGAAACACATAAATACACCCAAGATTCAACTCCTGCCTCCTATGGTAATGAGGAACATGATGGAAAAAGGCAATGGAGAGAACGAGCCTTCACAATTTCTCCAAATTAGCTTTTTGCTCAGAAACTGGGGGAGTTTTATGCTTTGTTGTCTCACCATACTATGCTAAATAATCAAAACATCATATTTTAAATACGGTCACCAGAAAAGGAAGGATAGATATAATGATGAAACAACATATCACATGCTTACACTGTCACGCATAGAAAAACATTCAAAACCTCACAGCAGTCTTCTATCTGACTCATAATAACCAGATGGGATGCTTATATACCAAAGGACATTTCCACTTTAAAACAAAAAAATGAACAAACAAACAAACCAAAAATAACATATAGACAAGGAGAAAAACAATAGGTGAGAAAAGAAAAATGTAAAAATTATTTATTAATGCCAAAATAGTATATAGAGCAATCTTTTTCAACACTGCTTTCTCTAGAATGTACTTTAAGAAGTTAAAACAGAAAGCAAATCATCAACTAACAAATCTCTTTAAAAACTACCTACTATCTGGAGGTGCAGATACCTCCACTCTCCCCCAAATGACTACCATTATCCTGAAACCCCTAAATTTATCAAGCCATACGACTTCTCAAGTACTAAATTCTGCCTTGCTCCCTACTCACTAATAAGACACCACTCTGACGGAGGCAGACCGTATCAGGATCACCTGCTTGAGGCTAGATTGGCTAGACATTGGAAAATATTACAGTTAATTTAAAGCATTAAAAACAGATGAAATGCCATTGCACTAAGATCATTAGGAAGCCATAAGAAAAATGAACACTGAAACACTACTATTTCAATAGCAAGAAATACCACAGATGATAAAAAAATAAAACAAATATCATTTACCAGTCTCTGTTTCTGACATTTCTGCAGATGCAGAGGTTTGGAAAGTGGAAGTAACATGAAGAAAGTCAGGTGACACTGAAAAAGAAACATGTACTGTGTTATTTAAAAGACATATGAACTATTGCAATATGGCATTATATACTGCCACAGATTAAGCGGTTTGCTGCCTCAGTAACAAAGTAGCAGAAAAGTAAGTAAAGTAACAAAGTAAGCAGAATCTAAACCTGAGAAAAGGCTTTTGGGCTAATATACATCAAAACACATACAAGTGATGCCAAATGGAAATATCTCAAGTATGATGGAAAAAAAAAATCCCATTAGGATAGTAAAAATGTAAGATTGAAAGAGTTGAAAAATACTTAACAAAAGGAAGCAACTAGAAAGCAACTTAGACGATCATTCCCAATATCCCTTAAAACATTATAGAAAATAGAAGAATGAAAAAAAGAGTGAAAAACTGAGAAAAGTGAAAGATCCTAGACAACAGCTATCACCAGGCAGGAGAAGAGAAAAACATATTTCCCAGCTCCAGCAACCCTGCCAAAATTTACAGAATTTGTTCTTATTTCCCCCCCAAAAAAGACAACAGTTGAGGAAAGTCTTCTAAGAATAAAGGCTCTTGTAAGGCTCTGATGTAGGTATATGGCTGAGCTGAGGCAAAGGCAAGCTTGCTCTGGACAAAAGCACCAAAGCAACATCCTGCAAGTTGTCTACATGGGGGTCATTACACTTTCAGCTTGCACCCAATTTCAACTCACTAGGCTTAATACTCTGCTCATGTCAATGCTTCACTTCTACCTTGCGAGCTGGCCAACCGACCAACTGCTTTGTAGCATGAGCAGTTACTCATCCCAGCACACAGTGGGTAACCAAACAGATTTCAAAGCCTTGAACACCTGCAAACATGGAAACAGCCGCTGCCACAAGTATCTCTAGCCACTTCCATAAGGTGCAGGAGCCAATGTTTTACGTGAATACAGCTTTCATCCACAGAACTTCCATCTCTTCATATGCTCTTCACTCCAACACTGGCCCAAATGAAATGGCAGCTTGACTACAAGCACTGCAACACCTCTTGGTACAATTCCTGCCATGCATCAGCCAAGATACATCCCAACTGGATCTAGCCAACAGCAGGACCAGGTACCAAAACTGAAAGGAGGCTGTGTGCTTACAATCCTAGCGTGGCCTCAGAGGCCTATGACAGCAGTGCGGCCCCTCCCCAAAGTGGATGAGGACGAAAGACGTGGGGAACGGCAGCTAAGGCAGGGTGGAGCACTACATTCTTGATGCAAGCTGACCTTCCCTCGCTGCAGAAAATGCCTGTTGAGCTTTGGAAAAAGCAAGGGTTCAAACAACAGAGGTGCATTGCGAGTGTGGCACGTGTTGCTACAGGCCAAGGTGCTCCACCACGTCTTGATACTCTCCTCAGCAGATGACAATGATGCCGAGTGACTGGGGAGCAGCGAGGCAGGGCAGTGTGGAGAAGAGGAGTGGAAGAGAGAGGAGAAAAGTCAAAACAAGGTTGAAAGCTGGACAGGCCTCCAAGGCTGCCAGGGCAGGGCTCCCAGCAGTTCAGTACTATTTTTCAACGGGCTGAGGTATCCCCACAACAGAAAAAGTTGAAAATGGATGAGGTCTGCAGTGTGGACCCACCCCAGAAGGGAATCTCAAAGCCTGCAAATGGAACAACTTCTAATACCAAGGCAGAAGGGACCAAACACATTTTGTATTGCTTCACGAGAGCTTCAAAATATGGGGACAGGCTCAACTCTGTACAGAAAAGCACTGCCAAAGTAACCAAAAGCAGGAAGGAAATCACGGGCTACGAACCCATTGCAGCTTTGGCCGTCTCCAGCGAAGCAGTGGAGGGAGATTCCAGGCCTGGTCTCAGGGTTGCTACAGTCAGACATGGAAACTGTCTTGAGAAACTGTCTTACAACACCCAGAAGTCCAGAGTTCATGCAAGACATGTCTTTTTCTGGCAGTGTCTCACAAGTCACTGACCAACACAGCTATCAGCTACTTTTATTCTAATTTTGCGTAGGGAAAATGCACAACCTAAGACATAAAGCAGTAGGAAAGTCTGCTTTTTGTGTACTCATTGTCACTGCACCTCTTGGTTAATGGAATAGGGCTCTAGGTCCAAAAAGGTAACAACATTGCAGGTGGAATTTTTCAAACTTGCCCAAAGATGGAGTTGTTGGTGGTAATAATGAACAATGTCTAGTAATTTCTTTGGTATATGTGCATATTCCTGGCCTTTGTAAACAGAAAACACTCAGTTCAGGTCCCATGAGTTACTGAGAAGCCAGTGATTGTTTTTTTTCCCATGGATAAAACCTAGCAAAATACTCTTAAGAACAACAGGAAAAGCTCTTCTCAACACATGACAAGTTTTTGCATCCAATGTACAAGGGAAGCTGATGTTACACTTGAGCATTTTATCCAAATGTATCAAACAGTAACAGACCTAAGTATATCATTCTGGCTCTACCAGAAAAACGAAGGACATAACTCACAGGATGATCTACAAAAATGCTTATGAGCATAAAAAAAACTACTCACGTTGGATCATTCTAATATTTAATTCCCAATTTCTCAAATGTTGAGGTGGTTAGCACCAGTCCCTTGCTATGTCTTTGAGAGCTGCCTAGATGTCAGGAGAACTACAGTGAGGAGAGATATCATTACCAGCTGAGGTGGGTAGCATTTCTGGCAAGCTAGATGTTTTCAGTCTTGAAGAAAGAAGCTTCATTTCATCTAAATGTGAAAAATAATCTTGTGTTAAAATGCTTATTTACCTCAGAGCTATTGTGGATAGCACAGGACTCCTTAGACAAAAGTTGCATTTCTAAAATGAAATTATTAAAATGGAAAGTTGCTTGCAAGACATCTAAGAAGTATGATGTCTCACGTGTTGCTAGGCTGTTGTGAAATTCAGTGTAGAAACCATGGGATTTAATTACTTGTATTAAAGAGAATGCTTACTACTTAAAAATTTAAGTGCATGTATTAATAATTGTATAGTGCAAGAAAATTGCTTCTTGATCTAGGAGACAAGGCAATGAGCTAGCCAACACAAGCCCAGGCAAAACCACCAAACCAGTTGATTATTACATGATAGTAATATATATTAAGCCCTTAATTCCCTCCACTGTTAACTTCTCTTACTATATGGAAAAATCTGATGCAGGTCCACAGTTGGGAACTTCAGCAGTATAAACAACAAACAAACAAACAAACAAACAAACAGAAAACCAACAAAAAAACCCCAAACCCCACAGATACTCGACCCCCAAAATGCTATAAAGATGAGCAATAAATACTGTTGATAAACTAGTTAATGATGACAATGAATGGTATGAATTACTAGTATAGTGACAATTAAGCAAGAGAAAATGTTCCAAAAACAGCAGTGAAGACAAGATGAACAAAGAAAACTTCAACTGATCAGTTTTACCCAGTGCTGTTCCTAAGAAATGAGGTTCTGTGGTAGTTACAGGCATGGATATTTCCAATTCAGTAGTACTTCTAGCTGTAGGGAAAAGAAGTATACAAACTTGATAAGCAGCTTCTTGTAAAGAACTGGATGAAGAAGATCTGGAAAAGAGGTCACCTGGTGCTGTTTTGTAGATCTCCTTAGGATGGAAAATGATATTACAAATTGTACATTATTTTTTCTGAGTATTTTTAATACTCTCGCCAACTACTTGTCTGAAGATGTTACCTTCCTTTCCCACGTGTAGAAATGTTTATAAAGGGATTGAAAAGTGATGCTTTGAAACAGTGTTAAGCCTGACCCCAGGAGCTAAAAGGATGCTATTATAGAATTTGAAGAACTAACACACAGACAGGGTAACCTCAATGCAGGCAGTATGGAAAAAATTACTGAAGTCTTGAACATGGAAACAGCACCCAAAAAAACAAACCAAATCAAGCCAAAACAAAACATACTTCTGGAATAACTACTATAATTTACCAGTGTCTGATATTTCTGGAGTTGCAAAAGTTTGAGGAGTAGAAGTAACATGAAGAAAGTCATGTGAAGCTGGAAAATAAAAACAAAAATCATGCTATATTATTTTGAAATGATAAGAACCATGATGCAACAGCATCACCTTCTTTTAATGAGCTGAAAAAAACTCATAGCTAGTGTTTAACATACCATATACTGCAAAAAAGTACACCAAAATGTGCAGTAACAGAGTACTTAGTAGATGTGACTTAATTTTTCCCCCAAAGAGTACATTAACAAAAAGATACAGAATGCAACTAATAGCCACAGCCACAACTATTAGAAGAATCACAAAAAGAATACGGAAAAAAAGTGGGTTTCTTTTTTTTTCTTTCTTTCTTTCTTTTTTTTTTTTTTAAGAGGAAGACAAAGCAGCTCAAAGAAGGGGGAGAACAAATCAAAAACAGTAAATTATCAGACTGGGACTATCTGCAAATTTTGTCTAGAATCCAAGGATCATGCAGTAGAATAAACTGGAGAATAAGAAAGAATGACAAAGCAGGAACTGCACTAAATGAAACACGTAAACTGTTTTCAGTCAGATGTGTGAATGGCTGACATCTCTGATCAATCTTGTACCTAATGATGGATTTCCTTCAAAAATGAATTTCTTTTAAAAATCAGGAGCACCAAGCATTACATTATTGGCATGCCGTTGAAATGAAATCTTTCCAACTGGCTCTCATCTCAGGTATTTTTTTTTTTCTTTTGGATGACTGTCAGTGGCCCCATGTTAAATATTCAGCTCTCATGGGAAAGTTTCCTGATCTATAAATACAAGCAGCAAAAACATCAGAGTTTTCTAGGGACGAACAAGTCCATGCCTGAATTTTCAGTGAGAGATTTTTACAGTACCCAGTTGCCAAATCTGGCTTTTTAGAAGTAAGTAGGCCTATAGAGAAAGACAAAAAGGAAAGCTATTTTTTAAAGGGTGTTGGAATATCAGCAGTTGCCGTTTATCTCTTAAATATCTGAGCACTTCAGCTGATCAGGATGTTCCATTTACAAAACTTCAGTATGGATATTTAGATTTAGCATTTACTGTATGTTAGGTATATTTCTAAGCTAAGTTTTGCATGCTGGAGTCAAATCTATTAAGTAAAAAATTTCATACAAAACGTTATACAGAAACACGTCATTTGACATAGTAATTCCAAATCTACAGTTATTCTTCATTTATGTCAAACTGAACGAACCATTTAATGAAAGGCACTTGTGTCTTTGGAAAATTCCTGACTGTCAAGAGGATTAATCTCATGAGAAATCATTACCAGATTTGGTTGGTTGCACTCCTGTGGTGCCAGGTGCTTTGAATCTTGAAGAAATAGGCTGTGTTTCATCAAAAGCTGAAAAAAGAATCTGAGCTTAAAATGCTGAGAATCTTGAGACTGAATGGATTAGCACCAAACTGCTTAGTGAAGGCTGTGCCACTCAAGGTGATGCTCAAAGCAAAGCTAAGCAAGATGGCCTGAAGATCAGCTTGGAGACAACTGTGTCATGACAGAGATGATGGCGTGTGATGCATTCTACTGGCCTTGAAACTAGTATCCACATGCCTGAAAGAGTTCTCAACAGCAAGAAATGATGCCTTGCTACGTTTTCTAGGGTATGAAACACAGCAATTGGAGAACAAATAAGCTGATGATGAGATATGACAGCACTGTCTTTTAGCAGTCAGTCTTTAAGCCAGTGATGAAAATATTTTTCAGATGATCACACAGACACAAAATGGTTGAACAAGCAGCTCTGTGCAAGTGTGGGTAGCCAAGACTCTTAAGCAGATCTTAAAATTATCTTTTGCCAATGTGAGTGATACTAAGATAATGGAAAAGAAATCATGTGCTGATTACCCATTTGCATGTCTTTGGTTTCCACAGGAGGGTGAGATAGGGATTTCAAGGCTGGACTCTGAGTAGCTAAGAGCAAAGATGAAAAAGACCTTAAGGCATCAAGGCATGCAAGTGGTATGAAATACAGTTTTATCTGAAAATACTGAACTTTTTTGTGGTTTGAAACTTCCTTTTTTCAATCAATTTTTATTCTATTCAGTCTATGGCCTACACTGTAATCAGCTTTGATGCACACTACTTACGCAGCTTTTCTCTACAACAAAGCAGCTACAACACAGTACATTCAATCTTCACAGCACTCAGTCTTTATATAAAACTCCTATTATTACAGTATATGCACTTATTTTAAAGAAAAGTTTACTGGGGAAAGGTGTACAAGTAAAATCAGTGAATTGAAGTGAATAAAAAGCATCTTCTGTTTGTTATAGTGTAAAGAAGACCTTTGACTTCCAAGTGTGGATAATCTGAAGCATGCTTGGGTGAAAACAGGGACTTGAAAGGAAATGGGCATGATCACCTCAAGGCCAACATAAACAAATTTCCACACAGGGCAGGTTTCACGCTAACATTCTACTTCTAAGAGATGGATCTTATTAAAATTCTATTGTGTATAAAGGTAAGTATATATCATTCTTTCGAGGAAACGTACGTGCACTTACCACTTATTCCTATTTAGGTTATAATAAATTTAAAAGAGAAAATTACCTCTATTTTTCTACCTGATTTTTAATAAGACATGATTTTTTGAGAAGGAGTAATACCGAAATTTTAAAACTGAATTTCTCTGAATGCCTAAGATTTAGAGAAAAATTTCCAAATAGCTAGATGCAAGGTTCATTTTTAATGTATATACTGTAAATATAAGCTGAGCAGGTATTTTTTCTCATTGGCTCTCCCATTTAACTTCAATCATATTCACTGCATTAACAAATATGATCCTGGGTTACTGTCCTGTTTTCAGAGAAGAAAATAATACAAGCAAAAGCCATATGAGTCACAGCATTTGGCAACAAGGACTCTCATTAATTCCACTTAGACACAGTGAGAACTATGGGACATCTCCAAAAGGCATCAGAACGCTCTGTAGCCATCTTCACAAAACTATATTTTCAAAAAGCTATGTATGCGAAGTACACTGACCACCCAGAAGTTTGTAAATTAAAGATCTCTCCTTCTGGTATAATCTAGATGCAAAAATAAATATGAAAAAAGAATCTGGGGTACTACAGCAGAATATAGGTCAGTCACAATCTTCAGAAACTCAGTTTGCTTTCTCTGATTATGTTAGGAGCTAACACCTTCTAGCTATCATGAATCTAAAGATTCTTTACCAGAGACAGCTTTTTAAAAAGCTGTAAAAAAAACAGGCCTAAAATGACCTTTGCCAGCAAAAATAATTCAGCTACTACATTGAGGAGGAATGTTACGTTATTGTGACTGTTACAAGAATTGGTTATTTGAATTATAATGGGAGTTTCCACATGTCATTCATCAGAAGGAAGGAATGGGATCACAAACCAAGCACTGAAGATTTATGAGAATCATGCTTAGAAGTTGCACTATTCTAAATCAATAATTCTGGTGTTTTCGTGACATAAAAAGGAGGCAATTAAAGCATGCAGAGGCACAGTGCAGAGAAACTACCAAGGTATTGACCCCCTTCTCATGGGTTGCCCCTGACTTCTGCACTGCCTTCTGTGGGAGCCCAGCTGGTGTAGCTGGCCTGACTGCAGGGCCCAGCCTTACATCATTAAATCCCACTTTTTGCTAAGTGAGCTATTCAACAGGAACAGAAAACAAATCAGAACAAATCCACCATGAAATACTCAAATGAAACATGACTTTTACTGTAACTATTGTAATGTTTTTACTACAAAGACACAGGTAGAATTTTTATAACCTAGCAGAAAGCAAAGATATTTCCTATTCCTAATGATAGTCAGGTTTTCAGCTGCATTTCTATCAAATATATTCCTAAATCAGTAAATGTCTTTCTCCCTCCAGTGTCGCCTCCAGCTGTTTAACCAACCATCTTTTACTACAGTGGAAACAGACAGATAACCCCATCCTCTCAAGCATAGGCAAGAGCTGTCAAAAATTAAAATAAATTATGAAAAACCTATGTAGATCATTTGCAGCTTCCACTTGGTTCAAATACACACTTTAAGAAATACGATCCTGGAATGATTTCAAAATCTGGCAGACTGTGTTAAATAAATATATGTGGTCTAAATAAAACAGCACTACTATGTGGTAACTTCTTAAATAACATTTACTGAAATATAAGCCCATATTAACTCAAGATCACTCACAAGCTAACTATACCTAACACTAAGACGTGAAAGCAAAATCACAATCCGTAGTGGCACAAGTAGAAACTATTTTGGAAGAGGGAGTAGTGCGATAACTTTTGAAATAGGAGGCATTTTAAGGTGTCCCAAAGTTTATCAGCAAACAACTCATGAATCCTGAATTAAGCAAACATCGAATACATAAACCACAGTAGCCTATATAAATTACGGCCTCATCTTATCCAAGCAAACAAATATTTACAAACTGCTTAAAAAACCCCGGAATTAATGATGAATGGAACAGAACCTCAACTGTGAAACATGCCCAGTCTCAGATGCAGACAGAGGAACCTCAAAGAAAATTTCAAAACTGAGAGTGCAGATTATACCTAAGTATATGTTGCCATCATTATTCCATAGATGAAGGGCAGTCTGTTGATCCTCACTAACATTTTTTCTTTAAATCATTAAGCATTAATCTGGAGTATCGTGTCATTACATTAGAACAAAACCAGACTTAGAATAAAGGAAAACACAAAAAAAAATTGTGAAGAAATCACTAACAGCTGTCATATTTTACATGTAGAAATATATTATGGCAGTTGAAGTGTTATGACCTACCAGCCACAGAACTAACAAAAGAATCAAATAATATTACACTGAAATTTACTCAAATTTACAAACAAAGTTATTACCAAGTTCTGTCAGTGGACTTTTTGGAGCATCATATATTCTGGATCCAGGAGGATGTGGCTGTATTTCATTAGAAGCTATGACAAAAGAAATAACCAAGGCTTTATTTGATGAAGAAAATTACAAGACACAGCATGGAACTATATCCTGACTTAAACCATTCATCACTGAAACAAACAATATTAAAAAAAAGGAAAAAAGAATTTCCAATATAGAAAAAATCCTATAAATTTGTCACTTAAGGTGTGTCAAATATAAATCAAATCTCAATTTTCTCCAATCACAATATAAGAACTATCAAGCAGAGAAAATTGGTAGAGAACATTATTAGTGAACAACAACAGCAGCGATGTCCATCTAGGCTGTAATTAAATCAAAATCAATTTTAATTAAATTTCATATTTCCACTTTGAAAGGGATGGCACAAAACCAGGAAGGTGGACCTTGCTTAAAGTAAATAAATAAAAGACTAAAGATTAGACTGAAATCAACTGGGAAAAAAAAAGCCGCTATTACCACCCAATATTCACCAGGGGTTTTGAAGAGAGGGAGATGTTTTAGCTTTAGTAAATTCTGGAAACCTGCTTGCAACTGTAAGTGAAAACAAGACATAAGTGAGAGTATGACATTGACATGAATCAACAAGAGTATTTAAAAATATACTCATGAAAAAGAATTGAATTTCCTCTTCATGTGGTGTATTATGTTTGAATGCTGATTAACGCTAGCAATCTTTTTATCAAACATCATTCCATAATTATGTTACCTGGGCTTTAGAAAAATATAACCAAACCACACCCCCCACCAAAAAAAAAAAAATAATCTAAAGCTTAGGTTCATGTTCATAATTTTGAATGGTTTTGAGGTTACATTACAGACAGCTAAATCAACACTGGAGAATTCAGAATTCTGAATGCAAGAAAACTGTTGATACTGCTGCAAACCACTAAATGAATAATGTTATTAAAATTTCTTATGAAAATAACAAACCTTTCGTTATAAGAATGCTCTGTAAAAAAAAATCACTACACCCCATCCCCTTTTTTTTTCCTCCTAGAACAAAAAAAGGGATCATGACTCATACAATATCATACTTTCCTTTTAAAACATTTTTCATGCTGCCTAAATGAAGCTGTCAAAAACAACAAAAAAGAACCAAAGCATTCATTATTTCAATTCAATCAGTGAGGTTGCTGCAGCTGACATTATCAGTCATTCAAATCTCCTAGAAAAGATAGGGAATATTAATTAAAAATAAAAACAACAAAAAAGATTGAATCACCCCATCTGAGAGGAATAATCATACATATGATGATCACAGATTATGTTTGACCTAGATGCATTATGCATTACACTTCATATATACAATAAGTTCTTGGAAATTCCATATGAACCAGTTAGGTCTAGTTAGGACTTCCCCTGGAGTAGCTCACTACTGAGGTGATGGAGCAAAGAGTTGAAAATTCTGCTGGAGAGGAAAAAAGTTTATAGAGAAAGTAAAAAGCAGTAAAATTAGTTACCCAGTATGCTTTCAGTTTGCGTCAATTCTGGTTTACGTGTTGATTTAAATTCCTCAGGTCCACTGTATTTCTCAGTCTCAGCTAGAAAAAAGAACCTTGATTTAATTCTGAACTCCTCTAAGGTTTTGCTTACCAATGCCCATAGCCCGCTGTTTTTCCTTAACATTGTGTTATGCCACCTGCAGTGGCTCCATTAGCGTTAATTTAATTGCTCATTTTCGTTTCAGTTGTGAAGTTCATATGTTTTGGATTTATTTTGTTGCAGTTTGTTTTTCTACATAGGCTATAGGAAAACATATTTTGCAAGGAGCAACACTAAGATCAGCAGCTCAGACTGTTTATGTGACACCTTCCCAAATTTGTTACCAAAAAAATTTCACAAATGTATATACAAATACTTTTTAAAAAAATCTTTCTAATGCAAAAATTAGCAGGTTAAGAAGAAATATTCACTTTTAATACTTATAATACCAGAGCTTTTCCCTTAGCTCTAATAATAACAATACAAAACAACACAATTAGAGCACAACACAACACACGTTTTGATTTTAATCTTCCTTCTATTTCTAAATTAAAGCACAGGCAGTTTATTAAACAATCAGTCAACGTTCCCAAACTGAATCACAACTATATTTTAATAAGCTATGGCATAAATATACTTTTTCAGTTTTTACACACTTACACTTTGTTATATGTTGTTACACTTAATTTCTAAGGCATACAAGATAAGATTTTTTTTTTAATAGCATTCTGTTGGAAGCCCCCTATGGTTTAATCAGTCATTAAAGAAAAGCAATGTCAGATTGCAGAATGTAAAAGCTTACTGATATGAAACAGAGGATGACAAGGCTTGCATGTGATATGAGCATTAACTTCCTGCACGGAGCAAATAACAATGTTTAGTGCGTGCTGATTGCTAGGGGAGATCTTTAATACTAATGGTGAGTTTCAATATAAGTTTTAGTATTTTATTTTAATAAAAAGATCACTTTCATTTTCAGCTACAATAGGAGGAGTTATTTTTGCTTTTCTAACACGCTTTCTTCATACTTTTTCCACAATATATTAAGTATGTATTTCACAAACATAGGCAAGTTTATAAGCTTATTACTTCATTTTTTGAAGATAAGGTGCTGTTTTCCATTTTTGAATACTAAAACAGTCACTACTAAGGTTATAAAAATAATAATATTTTCTGGTTTGGATTTTTTTCAGTGCCACAAAAGCTGAAATCACCACACATGCTGCATTATTAGGACCCAATTCAACTTCTGTTAAGTCAATGACAGTGCTGCTACTAGCATCAATGAAACAGGGATTCAGTTCTATGGAGAAGGTAGAGGAAATTATCTCTACAAAATTTTTGGGGAAAATTCATCCACAAGAGGTCTAGAAACATAAAGAATGAATCTGTCCTCCTTGGCAGTACTTCAAAAGTTACCATTTCTCCTTGCTGAAAGATAACCATAAAAAAAAAAATCAGCAAAAACAAACATTTAGAACTCATTAAGCTCTTTATTTTAGGGGTCAACTGGTTCACTTTTCATATGAAGCATGTGTCCTGGCAACTGAGTAATTTGATGGAGAAAAGGTATGCCTACAATTAGGATAAAAGAAACAAGACTCTGCTGTTCTTGCACATAGTGTTGTAGAGATTTTTGAGCAGACTTTTGCCTAAAAGAGATACAGGAAACAAATACTTTAAGCACTGGAAGCTAAATTACAGGAAAAGGGTAAAACTGTTAGATGCCCATTTTTACTCTGCCCTCCTTTTTCGGGCAGAGAAGGAGACTTAATAATTCATAAAAAAGAAAAATAATGAAAAAATATGCAAGATGCTGTTTTTACCAGAGCCTGAAGAATTTGTAATGCTTATGCTGAAAGCAAACAGGTAAATCTGAATCTGGTTTGAGATCCTCTCTGTGGTGGCTCATTGCCACCAATGTATTGTGTCCAGTTCTGGGCTCCACAGTACAAGAGGGATGTGGAGCTGCTGGAGAGAGTCCAGCGCAGGGCCACAAGGATGATCAGGGGCCTGGAACATCTGCCCTATGAGGAGAGGCTGAGGGAGCTGGGCCTGTTCAGCCTGGAGAAGAGAAGGCTGAGAGGGGATCTAATGAGTATCTATAAGTACCTCAAGGGAGGGAGTGAGGAGGATGGTGCTGGTCTCTTTTCAGTGCAGGTCTCTTTTCACCGACAGAACTAGAGGAAACGGCCAGAAACTGAAGCACCAAAAGTTCCACAGGAACTTAAGGAAAAATTTCTTGACAGTGAGGGTGAAAGAGCACTGGAACAGGCTGCCCAGAGAGGTTGTGGAGTCTCCTTCTCTGGAGATTTTCAAAACCCACTTGGACGCAGTCCTGTACCATGTGCTCTAGGTGACCCTGCGTGTGCAGGACGGGTGGACTAGATGACCTCTAGAGGTCCCTTCCAACCGTAAACATTCTGTGATTCTATGATTCTATGACCCTACCCAGAGAAGACCCTGAGTTTTCCAGGGCAGCAGGTTTTAAGTTCTCCTGGGCTGGTTCAAAGGTGGGTCCTAAGGAAAAGGTTAACATAACCACAAGGTAAGGTGGTTTACTGTTACAGCGTGGAATACGGAATGTGTCTAAGCAACATTTATTATTTTTCTCCTAACTTCTCTTGACAGTGAAATCTCAGTGAATTCAAGCTCCTCTTTTTCTTCTCTGCTGGAACTTACATATTCAAATGGAAACAGTAATCGCACTGAGACCAATGTGAACACAATGTGAAGCTGTCCAAAGGCAAGCTGGGGCCAGCGCAGAGAAATAGAGCTTGGGAAGCAGGGCAGTAAAGACTGCTCCTTACTGAACATTAGACCTATCCTGGATTCACAGCTGATACTTTTCATTTAGAACCTCTTGTCTGCTTCACAAATCTACTACTGATACATTTTTGGCACAGTCCTTTTCACACAGAAATAACCTGCCCTTAAAAAAAAAGAGTTTTTCCATGCCCTAGAAAAATGAACTGATATTTTTACTGTTGGCCAACTTCAAATTCCCTGTGAAGTTAATAAAATGCCTACACTTGATTCAAATAAGAGAAAATTATAGTAGCAGTTTGAAGAACGTTAGACAGTATTTTAGAGAATGAAAAAAAGGGCAAATTGATGCTGTTGTGTTAACAGTAAATTGCTCTTATTCTTAAGTGGAAAATATTGTAGCAATCCCAGCAAAAATGAAGCCAGGATTTTGCTTGCTAAAAAGTCTTTCCATGGTAATTTATGCCAAGGGAGGGGAGGACTGAAAATAAAGAAAGAGTGGGATGTCTTTTTGACAAATAGACCAAAAAAAAAAAGATCATTGAATCACATCATATTGCAAAACTCACCCTTCAGCCAAAAACCAGAGGACTGTCAGAGCAGTCCAGCTCATGGAGCCTTTCAGCTAGCTGAAATCCAGACACAAATTACACATAAACTTCAGCTACATGCGACTCCGTCTAAAGCAGTGTTCTATTGTTACTTTTGGCAGAGCAAATAATTAGTATCATATCCTACATGAATAAGATGATTTTCAAATGGATAAAACTAAATGAAAAGGCTCTATCACTAATCTCAATGAACTGTGTCTCAATATTGCCCATCTCTTAAACATAACTTTTGCAAAAGACCTATACTCAGAATCATTTCTGAAACTCTCGCTCAGATAAATACGTATAATTGTATATATATTTATGTAATTTGTCATTAAAAAGATAGCACTTGCCAATTATCATATCTACTGAGATGCTATCCAACTTCATAAAAATGTAATTCTATGTTGTGTCAATCTGACAAACACATAATGCTGGATATGAACCTAGGATCAAATTCTGTGTTCCTCTCCTGTGTAAGTGAACAGTATGCGAGAGAGCTAAGGAACACATTGCATTCAGAAGTGAACTCAAACAGAACTCAATACTATCCTCACCAGCACTTCTAAAATAGAGCCAAAACTGTAACTGTTCGGCTTAATCTCACTTAGGCATTTTGCAAAATCAAAGTTCTTATTCCTAATTTCCTCCTTTATGTATTTTATGAAAGTTGGAAGTTCAAGACAC